TGCACTATCCACCACACGTCGATGCTCCCCTCGCTGAAGCGTTCCTGGTTTTGCGGGAACAAGTCGATGTTCTTGGCTACCAGCAAGGCCTGCTGGGCCGCTGTGGTGTCGCGGACAGTGTCTGTGGAGAGAAGTGGCAGCAGCAGGTCACTGAGGGTGGGCTGACCCGCGACCGCATGGAGGCAGGGTCTCCATGAAGCCCCTGCCCAGGGCAGGCATTGAAGGGTCCTCACATCACCGGGTCCTCCTGGCCCAGATGCAGACACTATGTGTCAGAGGCTGGGGACCCCTAACTTGGGGACAGGCTCCAGGGAAGGGAGAGCCTCAAGACTGCCCAGTGGCCATTTACTTGGCTGGTGACAGTGTGGCTCAGGCCTTCCATGGCCCCAAGGAACACGCTCGGGCCTGCAGACAGACCCGAGTGGGGAAGGACCACACCCAGCAGGGCCGAGGGGTGCTGGCTGCCACACCCACCGACGAAGTTCTTCCAGGAGAAAGGGTTGTCCTCCTGCTTCCAGGCCCCGGGCCAGGCCATGAGCACTGTGTTGTGCTTCATGCCCCCCAGGCCGGCCGACTGGATCAGGTGCGACATGCCGTCCCGCAGGTTGGAGGACACCACCAGCTGGCAGAAGCCCTTGGTCTTCTCCAGGCCCATCAGGAACCGGATGTTCTGCAGGAGACGGAAGGATGCCTAAGGGCGGCCAGACCAGCACACACCAGGGGCCCCCACCGGACCCTGGCCTGCAGCCATCAGCTGTGCACGCACAGTGAGGAAGACGGGCTCAGCAAGCAGGTGTGCACGACACCAGCAGGCACAGGTGCCCAGGAGGGTCCCCTGCCCCCGGCGGTTCTTCAGAGCTGCGCTGCCCCACATCACCATCAGGGGATCTGGGCCACGGGCCACATGCCCAGCACACTGACACTACCTGAGTGGGTCAGCAGGACCTGCGTGGGGGTCCAAGAACAAGAAGCTGGACAATACCACTTCACTGCCTTTCCGCCAGGGCTGTGTCTGTCCAGCAGCGACCCCCAGCAGCCAGACATCAAGGAGGCTGGACACGCAGGATTCATGATATGTACCCCTAAGCCGTGGCTCCTGCCCTAGCCGCTGGACTCCTGGGACCCACGGGGCTGAGCTCTGGCGGGCTGGCTCCAAACTCATGCTCCTGGTCCCCAAACCTTGCCCTGTGGAACAGTAGTGCCCGCCACGGGGACCAGCCGTCCACATCTCCAGCACGGAGACCCTCCGAGTCGCAGGACACCACCCAGGGGGTGCAGAGGCAGGACTGGATGGGACTGCGGCTGAGCTGACGCAGCAGCAGTCGGACCTTTTGGTGACATCTCAATGTCATGAACATTTTGCACACATGAGATGTGAACTTGGGGGGGGTCATAAAGTGGACTGTAGAGGGTTAAATGGTGGCCCCCAAAGAGATGGCCATGTCCCAACCCCAGAACCTGAAGATGTGACCTTATTTGGAAGGTGTCCTTGCAAATGTGGCTGGAACTCTCATGGTGAGAATGCCGATCACCTCTCTGGACCCGAGTCCAGCAGCAGGTGTCCGTGTAGGAGTCAGCAGAGATGGACACAGAGAAGGGCTGGCAGCAGGGAAGACGGAGGCCAGACTGGAGGGACCAGCCTGGAGCCAGACCCGGCAGGAAGCAGTCTCGGGGCACAGCCTGGCCACCCTGCACCTCAGACATGGTCTGCAGACCCTCAACAAGCTACTGTGGGCCACGTGAGGCTCACGTGGGGGCCACGGCCACCTCTCTGCCTCCTCTGTGCAGTTCCAGCTGCCACCTGCACCAGCCCTGCAGTGACATTACTGGGCTCCCCAGCCATGTACCCAGCAAAACCCTCCTTCTCCCTCCCACCACCTCCAGGCCTACTCTCTGGATGCCTCTGTCACACACCGACCCCCCAGGGCAGGGCAGAAATGTGGGGACCACAGACACCCTCCCCCTTAGAATTAGCTCAAGTCAAAAGCTGCCCAACATGCTGCCAAGGGGAGCTGGCCGCGGGCAGCCCGGGGTCTTCAGGGATGCAGCAGGACACCCACCAGCCGTGTCTCAGCCAGGAGGCCACCAGAGTGCATCGGTGCTCCTGCCGCAGGCTCTGGACAGGTGTCCGCAGACGGGGTTCTGGGCTAGGTGGGCAGAGAGACCACACCACACCCTCTCCTCGTGCCGGCAGAGCCGGGAAGAGGGCTTTGACGCCAGGGTTCCACGAGGCACACGGAGTAGAAGCTTTTGTGACTTAAAGACTTTCTGAAATCCTTCTCAATTTTATGCCACTGACTTAAAGTCGGATTAGAGCACACAGCTCCTAGGGAGAGCATGTCAGCCCCTGATGCTGGCCTGGGGACAGATGGGCCCTGGACGGCTGCTCCCTGCCTCTGCTGACCAATGAGGAAGCCAGCTCTCAGGTGGCCGGCGCCTTCCTACGGCTCTCAGGGACCAAGCACATCCCCTGCTCAGGCCCTTTAAACACCTGAGCTGCCCAGGACGAGGTGTGGCGGACGGCAGACGCTGGCGTGAGGCCCTGATGCCGGCCCCAACACCCCAGAAGAAAGGCCATGCTCAGGTATGGGCCCAGGCCGTTCCTATAACAGGGCCAACTGTCGGGCCAGATGCAGGGAGCCACCAGGCTCAGCCACCAGAGGAGCCCCCTGGGACCCGACAGGAGCCGGTCGAGCTCTGGGACAACAGCCCTGGGTTAACTCTGGGTTCACAGCAAGGGCAGCCGGGGTCCAGACCCACAGAGTGCCATGAGCTGAGAGCCACTGGCCTCTCCTGCCTCCGCAAAGGCTCTGAGCCCTGGAGCGGCCCGAGGCTGGTGGAGCGGTGGTGCCTGAGCCCTGCAGCTCCCCAGGGTTGTCCACAGCAACCCTCTTCCCAGTCTCCCCTCCACAGGCCACCAGCCTGGACTGAACTGAGTGTTGGGCTGAGCACGTGGACAGCAGAGGGCGCCCTGAGGACATGCCAGCAAGATCAGGCCCTCCTGGCCCCCAGGGAAGAGGTGGACACACCTACTGACCCAGAGGGAACAGAGGAAGGGCCTGAGCTGGTCTGCACCAAGGCTCCACAAGCAGACCCAGTTCCAAATGAAACACGTCACAGGGAGGGGCCAGCAGGTGACAGGACCCGGGCTGCAGAGGCAGCAGAGGCAGGTGGCCCCTGTGCCTTGAGGTTTGTGGCTCCCCCAACACACAGGTGCAAAGGTAGGAAATGAAGAACCGTCGTGGGAACCCAGGTGTCACAGAGCCACCAGACCAGGGCCAGCAGGAGTCAGCACAGCACTGAGCCCGGGAGGCGCAGGTCCCACACCCCACTCTGTTCACGGAGCTGGGATGGGCAGAACCGGGCAGCAGAGGCCTCACTCGGTCAAGCTGGTGGTCCAAACCCTGGAGGAAGGCCGGGCTGTGGCGAGGGGCTCCCGGTGCAGAGGTCAAGGCCGGGCAGCCCCTCAGGGTCTCCGTGCAGCCCCTCAGGGTCTCTGCGCTGCATAGGACTGGGTCCCTCGGGTTCTCACGCCTGTCCGTTCAGACCTGCAACCTGGCCTTGTGACGCGAATGGCCACGCGGCACACAGGACTGTTTCCCCCGTCGAGGCAGAGGGCACACTGGTGGCCCTCCGTGTGCCACACCCGTCCTCTGCGCACCCAGCCACCTGCCCACGCACCTCCTCAGCCTGCTGGGCCTCCAGGTGCTGGTCCAGGTAGGTGCCCTCCAGCACTGAGCCCACGATGGTGAGGCCCTTGCCGGCCTTCAGCTGTGAGGCGAAGGACAGCAGGCGGGGGTGCTTCACACAGCGCTGAGCGTCCAGGTTCAACATCACCAACACCTGGGGCCTGAGGGACAGCAGTGACCATGGCAACATGTAGCTGGACTCAGCCATCAACGGGAAGGGCAGGGGGCAGGTGCCAGGCTGTGTCTGAGGTGCCTGGAGCATGAGGCAGGGCCTCCACTACTGGCCACCCAGGCCAGAGCCTGCAGGGCAGGTGACAGCCCCTGGAGGTGAGGTGGTCCACAGGGTGACTCAGAGCCAGCCACCACACCCAGAGCAGGGACCAGCAGGGACACTCTGCCCTTCTCCAGCAACTCTGCAGGGGGCCTGTGAGGGGTGGGGGGTACTGGGGACCCACCCTCGTGACCCAGCTTCTGTGGTGGCCCCAATAAGACCCCACCCAAGGGCTAAGGGCAGAAGCTTTAGGACAACAGCTTCCAAGTGAGGGTGGCCTTCCTCCTGTCTACCCCCCAAC